TCTTGCAGATCTGAGACCCTGTACCCATTAAACAATAACTTCCCATTCCCCACTCCTCTCCCTAGCCCCCAAAGACAACCATTTTACTTTCTGTCTCTATAAATTTGATAGCTCTAGGTACCACATATTAGTGGATTCATACAGTACTTGTTTTTTTTGTTTTGTTTTGTGGCTGGCTTATTTCACTTAGTTTGATTTCCTCAAGATTCATTCACAACTCTAGCATGTGTCAGGATGTTGTTCTTTTTTAAGGCCAAATAGTATTCCATTGTATGTATATTCTACATCCATTCATCTATTGATGGACACTTGGATTACTTATGGCTATTATGAATAATGTTGCTATGAATATGGGTATACAGATATCTGAGTCCCCATTTTCAGTTCTTTTGGTTATGTACTCAGAAGCAGAATTGCTGGATCACATAATTCTCTTTTTAATTTTTTGAGGCAACAATTCCACTTAATTAACTAAATAGAGTAATAAAGCAATGTTCCATTGCCTCAGGTCTGTGATTTGGTACATCCCTGAGAGAGACATCAAGTTAAGGTAATCTCAGGATGTGTGTTTGGTATGAGGCTCTAGCTAAAACAAGGAGTAGGGGATGAGGAGGGTGCCAAAACTCTGGGATCTAGAGCTACTTAAGTTCTCCAGCCCAGCCCACCCAGCCTCCCTAGCTCCCATAGTCTACAGGATGCCTATTGATGCAATAGCCTAAGCAGAACTACAGAAAGGCCTCAGTGTGGGTAAAAATGGATATTGATTTTCCCAGGCTTTGTAGTGAGTCCATGTTGTTGCTATTTTGAGAGCCATTAAAGCATAGTGATTAAGAACTGGGATTCTGAGCTAGAGCTCCTGGGTTTGATCTTAGCTCAGCCTTTACTACATGAGTTCTCTGTGCTGCGATTTCCTCATTTGAAAATAGATATTATAATAATACCTACCTCATAGGATTATGGGGAGCATTAAATGAGTTAATACATGTAACTGTTTAGAAAAGTGCCTGACATATAGTTCTTACTAAATGTTAGGCAGTCATAATATTATTTTTAATTAGTGTAAGTTACCATGTAGTTTTCCTTAAAACCTTTGGAAATAAAATGCATAACATGATATTGTTTGAGCTGAACTTTTTGGATTTCATGTGCTTTGAATCAAAAAAGGTATGTAACAGCTGTTTAAAGAGATAGGATTTGCTCCCAGGCCCGAAGGATTAGATGGTAGCTTGATAAAACATTAACATCTATAGAGAATCTATACTAGTCATGACAGGAGTTGGTTATAAAGGTTTCTGTGGTCTCCTGTAGTCTCCGCCCACTTAAACACTGTCTGGGGGTCAGGTGCCCTTGGGCAAAGCCCACCATTTCAGGCACAGTGTCCCTGGTAAGCAGAGTGTGATAGCACTAAACATTTGATTCAAATAATGAACTCCCCTAATCCACAAAGCAACCTTCTGATTATAATTTGGCTTCTCAGGTAGCTTCTCTGCATGGAGAGGCTGTATAGGTGAGATCAATTGAATTATCTGGTTGCATATCCCGTTGTAAGTCTCACTGGAAATCAGTACACAGCCTTCCATTTGTACATGTCAATCTTGGGAGCTTTATTAATCCAGGTCTGCCCTGGTTAATAGATTCATTCTCTCTGTATTGACCAAGTAGGTAGTTGAACCTACAAAACTGAGAGCCAAACCCGCATCATGGTAGATTCATAAAGGTAGAGTTCCCCTTCCTCTACCCTCATCAGTTTCTTGGGACATACCCCTTGCCTCTTTTAGATCACCACACCACTAGCTGCTTAATTTATTGGCTTGTGTTTTCTTTATTGGAATTTCCATAAGTGTGGCAGCAGTGATAATTCTTCACTATCACTAATGCCAGTTTGCTGAAGAGAGTGGAACATTCCAATTTTTACTCTTCCCTAAGTCCCTGGGCCAGCCTGATGTGACCAAGAATCCATTGTGTGGTGAGTAAGAAGTGTGGTCACTGCACTATAAAAGCTTGCTCCATGTATCTATTGTACTGATCCAAGCCATCTTAGAATGGATAGAGCTGAAAGGACTATTATGAGCTTATTATGACCTTATTATGAACTAGTCATATCTCTTGTTTTACCAAAGGGGAAAGAGAGACTACATACCTAGGGCCATATATCTTTATGTTCTCTCAACAGTCTTTTGAAGGCTTGACTATATTGGCCAGGGACTCATGACCTGTCAGTGACATTCTTCCTAGCTCCAGACATGTCTAACTAGTACAAAAATTTAACTGCCAAAAGGCACTTTTGTTTCCTGTAGTTCAGGCGACATTTCTCCCTTTGCTATATACCATTGAAATACAAATTCATCTTAGATATCAGACTATGGCTTTTTTTTAATGTTTTTTTTTTAAAGATTTATTTATTTATTTTTAGACAGAGATGGGGAGAGAGAGTGAGTGGGGGGAGGGCCAGAGGGAGAGAGAAAAAGAATCCCAAGCAGACTCCCTGCTGAGTATGGAGCCCAAGTTGGGCCTCGATCCCAGGACCCTGAGATCATGACCTGAGCTGAAATCATGAGTTGGACTCTTAACTGACTGAGCCACCCAGGCGCCCCTTCAGACTATGTTTTTAACTGAATTCTTTGTAGCCTGACTGTTATGTCTTTTTGACCACTTTGTAGAAAGATTTCATGGCAACTGTTTGAATCTACTTTTTTTCTTTCTTTTTTTTAAGAAGCCTATAAGGTGGGCAGATCCTTCCCAACTGCTGCAGGATATCACCAGCCAACCTGGCAGAAGCTTCAGAGCTGTTTCTCCAAACCCCTCAGATTTGCCAGTGCTCTTAGCTCAGTTGCCCACCTGGATAGAGATGCTGAATTTGTCACATTGGGTCTTTTTTTTTTGACTCTACATCCAAAATTGTAGACATATGACTTCATGATCTAATAATAAACTTCAGTACTTTTTAATGACTGAGCCACCCAGGCGCCCCAAACTTCAGTACTTTTTAAAATAATAATTACTGTATACTACAATGTAATTATATTCCAATAATTCTATAAAATTTTTCATGTTAACAATAGAATATTCTTTTAAAAATTTCAGTGATGTTTATTTTAATCACAATAGAAATTTCTAAACTTTTTTTTTTAAAGATTTATTTATTTATTTATTCATGAGAGACAGAGAGAGAGAGGCAGAGGGAGAAGCAGGCTCCCAAGGAGCAGGGAGCCCAATGTGGGGCTCGATCCCAGGACCCTGGGATCATGACCTGAGCCGAAGGCAGATGCTTAACCATCTGAGCCACCCAGGCGCCCTGAAATTTTCTAAACATTTTTCTTTTCTTTTCTTCTTCCTCCTTTGACATGGAGTACTATGTGCTTTAAGCTTTTTATTTTTAATTAAAAAAATTTTTTTTCCTCTTTTAATTTAAATTCAATTACTTAACATTTACTCTATTATTTATTTCAGGGTTACAGGTCTGTGATTCATCAGTCTTATATAATACCCAGTGCTCATTACAACACATACCCTCCCCAATGTCCATCACCCAGTTACCCCATCTGCTTTAAGCTTTTTTTAATGGCAAAACTATCTTATTAGCTTAGCATTACTTCTTACATACATTAAGAAATTGGGGTGCCTGGGTGGCTCAGTTTGTTGAGCATCCAACTCTTGATTTTGGCTCATGTCATGATCTCAAGGTTGTGAGATGGAGCCCACATTAGGCTCCCTGCTCAGCAGGGAGTCTGTTCAAGGTTCTCTCTCCCTCTGCCCCTCCCCACAGTGCATGCTCTCTCTCTCTAAAAATAAATAAATCCTTTTTTTAAAGAAAAAATTTAGTAGCAAGTTACAAATGGATATACAGTTTTCTTGTAATATATTTTTACATATTTCTAAGAGGAAAGTGAGGCAGCAAATGTAAGTGAATTAAACACAAAGTGCTTTAATGTACATGCTCAGATGGTTATTCAAGGAGCACTTCCTAGAAGTGTGTTTCAAACAAGATTTTAGAGACGGTATAAATATACATTGCTGAAAAGAGAAAAGGTTGAAAAAAAGGAAGTAAAACAAATTATGCATTGGGGAGCTATACCAGAAGAAGGGGGAATGGATGCTAACAACAAAAAAAATGATGTCCATTGCAGGATGGTTAAGCGAGCCCTTTGTTGGAATGGGTATGGAGTGTTGGGAAACAGTGATTGGTAAAGTTATTGAGATGTAGATTCACAACCTTTCTACCCACATTTTGCCTGGATACTTGGCTAGATTCTAAGGGAAAACCAAAGAGGGAGAGAGACAGTGCTTGATCTGTGGGAACTTACAATCTTGCTGATGAGACTAGGCAACTGGAAGGTAAAGGAGAAGCCTTGACAGCCAGTAAGAGCAGCTTGGATTTTATATGGTGTGTGATGGAAGGAGCCTTTGCAGGGTCTCATGTATCCTCCTGCCTCTATCGTCTGCTCAGGAAGGAGAGATCTGAGCTGGGAAAATCACATTGAGTCGGTGACTAGGTTTCAAAAATCAATTTTTGTAGCTGTATATAATCAATTAGCAAAATAGCTTTTTTTTTCCCACACAGAACTATTTTGAACCACTTTAGAAAAAAAATAGGCTGCCAAAATCTTCTTTCCATGATTAACAATTAATGGAAAATCACTGGTTTGCTTTTGCAGACAGCACTTAATGTCGGTAACTGCAGGCTGTTTTCCAATTTTACAGTAAATTTTTATGCTGAAACCAGTTTAGGAAGCTGTTTAGTCCATGGGCTTTTTTGGTGGAAAGATGATGTGGGTAGACTAGAATAATGACATTTCCTTTTCCACACCAAAATATTAGCAATGTACTAATGGCTCCATTTTGATACTGTCATTTTCAAAATAAAGGAGAGAGGTCAAGTTGCTTATGGAAACATCTTGGATTATGTTAAAAGTAGTGTAGCTTTATAGTAGTTGAGATAGCAAAAAATTCAGGTTTTGCTTTTAGTGTATCCATTCATCTCCCATCTTGGATCAGACCGAAGAGAGAAAGTTTCCAGATTTTTGTTTGCTATCGAATTAGTCCTCTGGTAGTTGTTTGGTCTCACATTGTAGAAATAATAGTTTTTATTTTTTTCCTTTCTTCTTCTTCTTCTTTTCATCCATCTCTTTGCTACTTGCAAGCTGCTCCGTGATTTCCATTCTCTCGACTGGCATTCCAATGGGAGGCCTTCCGAGGTCTTTGGTTTCCTGGAATGACATTTGAGGCATATTTAAGTGCCTCACGATATTCCTGGGCTTATGTGGGTTTTGACTCACGTGGATTGGTGGTAGGTCTCTGAAAGGCACCAGCACAAAAATGACAGGAACCCTGAGGTCTGGGGTCAGATTGGGTTGTTGTCGTCCACTTGTCACTTGCAAAGACTGTCCAGGAAAGACCTTGTTTAAGGGGTAGCTCTCTAAAGCCGCCTGAGCTTTTATGTTCTGATTCTCTTTGGTCTGGGGAAGAACATCGGTAAAGTAAGGTTTCACTCCCGTTATGGCTTTGATCTCATATGCGTTGTGCCTATCAGCCAGTGCTCTCCCAGTTAAGATGGGCTGGAAAACAGTTGATCCTGAGACACCGCTCACAAAGCTGTTGAGGAGAAAATGCCAAATTCCTCCACTTATTGGGCTCAGAGTAACCTGTGGCCAGAAACTGGCCAGGCTCCGGAGAGCCTCCCGGTTCCACGCTGAGGCAGGAAATTCGGCCTCAGTATGATAGAGCTGAGAAAAGTAAATGCTGAGAGTAACGTCTGGATACGTTATTAAGAAATTGTACATTTTGCTGATGCAGCAGTGGTTGGCTTCATTACACGGGGAGTTGTTGGAATACAGAATGATATGCCTGATAGCATTGTTATTGTGTAGGGCTGAGTCAAAATAACCTTTCATCTCGAATAGCATTGATTCTGGGTGGGTATTATTCCCAGTGCAACTGCTAGCATGGCCCTTTTGCACCAGGCTTCCAGAAGAAGTTTTTAGTTCATAAAATGTGAGGTGCTTTGTTTGAGGATACGCTGGCCCATAAGGGAATCCAAAAATCTGATAAAATTCTGTATAGGGAACTCTTGCTTCTTCACCTGTCCGAATATGGTAAGGACAGTTCGAGCAATCTAGAGAGAAGCTTAGCCAGTAATAAGGTTTTACTATTGTTCCATGATTTGCTAGGTATTCTTCATATAAGGGCTCCATTGCTAGTTTTATGGTCTTCTAGCTGCAACCCTAAACAAGGGAGAGAAATTATACGTAAAACCAGTGCAGGAAAAACTAAAGAAAATGCATTAATTTATTGAACCATACTCTTCTTTAAAGGAGGTCGCACAATCACTATAGCATCTTTGATTGTAAAAGACAGTGATATATATGCATAGACTAGAAAGCTTAGGATTCATCTTTCTTAAATTGAGACTCTTGGGGCGTGGGGAGGAGACGGAAAAAGAAAGGCATAATGCACCTTTACCTCTTTCACAGATTGTGGGGTACTACAGCAAATGGGTTAACAGAGTAGGTTCTGGAAACAGATTACCTTGTTTCAAATCTGGGCCCTGCCACTTACCAGCTCAGTGACTTTCTGCAAGTTGTTTAAAATCTGGGCGTCACAGCTTCCTTGTCTGTAAAAGGAGGCTAAGAATAGTACCTACCTGCCTCTGAAGATTATCTTGAGGATTGAACAATGGAACACATATAAAATGCTTTATTATGTGCCTAACTCATATTAAGGACTCAATAAAGATTAGCCCTTAATAGTGATAGTACAAATCCCAGGATTATCTAAATGATTCTTGTTTTTGAAAGTCTAAACAAACAAGCGGGGATTTTGCAATTTTGTTTGTAATGTTCTTTCTTTGTCCCTTTTCTGAATGATATTATCTAATTATCTGCATAGGTTTTGAGTGTGCTTGCATTTAAAATCAGCTATTTCTTCAGATCAGTGGCAGTAAATTGGAGGTAATTATCCTTTTGGGAAAAGGATCATGGTTAATGGTGGAGACTTCTTGTAGGAATGCCACTTGAGTTTTCTTTGGGTCGTGGACACTTTGCTATTTGAGAGTTTTATTTCCAGTGGTGGGTCTTGTTAGAACATTTTGGAAACTTTACCATTCTGGAAAGCACATATGGTTCTTTAGTTTATTTCAAATAAATAGTTTCTGGGATGTTACACCACAAAAGTTGAGGTCTTTAAGTAATGATTTTTTTTTCCTTTAAACAAAAATTACTCAGTTATCATTGTTCCCAAGCAGCAACCTATGGCATTCTAATATAGTTTTAAGAACATTTTTAAATAACTTTTTATTATTCAAGTATTATGTATTTCTTGTAGGATATTTTTAAAAAATACTAATACATCAAGGGAAAAATAAAAACTCATACCGGTTTATCTCAGTTTACGTTCCCATAACTGTTAACATGTCTCTTCCCTCTAGTCTTTTTGCTGTGTGTGTTTGTTATGTACAACATAAATAAAATCATGTTTTATACTTCGCTTCTCACTTAGTATTAGGTCATGAGTATTTCCCCATGTTATTAAAAATTCTTCAAAAAACAATATTCATGGCTAATTAGTATTTTATTATGCAACAAATATGTAATCAAATATTCAGGTTCTTGCCTCTTTTTATTATTATAAATAATGCTTTGATGAGCATTTCTATAAATAAATTTGTATTTTTTTCTTTTAATGTAGATCACTAAAAATTGTATTATTAGCTCAAACTTTGTCGGATTGCTTCTTTTTTTTTTTAAAGATTTTATTTATTATTTGACAAGAGAGAGACACAGCAAGAGAGGGAACACAAGCAGGGGGAGTGGGAGAGGGAGAAGCAGGCTTCCCACAGAGCAGGGGAGCCCAGTGCAGGGCTCCATGCAGGGCTCCATGCGGGGCCCAATCCCAGGACCCTGGGATCATGACCTGAGCCAAAGACACTTAACGACTGAGCCACCCAGGCGCCCCTGTCAGATTGCTTCTTAGGAAGGTGTCCCAGTTCTATCTCATTCTCTCCCAGTGATGTTTATCACCTCCTTTGCCCATTTGAGAAGTGAGCATCGGTATCCCTTTGTGGCTATAATTTGGACCTTTTCAATTCCTAGTGAGGTTGAACACATTTTCACATGCTTATCGGTCTGTAGTATTTATTCTTCTGTGAAATATGTTTGATCCCTTATCTCTTCCCCTTCCCCCCCACCGTGCTTTGTTGAGGTTTTCCTTACTGATTTGCAAGAATTCTTTATGTATTAAGAAGATTAGCTGTCATAATTTTTCCAAGTATTTTACCTGGTTTATGAAGCCATTTAATTATGCTGATGGCATTTTTAATTATACCGATTTTTACATTTTTGTATGGTCTCATCTTTGTCCTTAAGATTTATTTTTTACTGTTGTATTTAGAAAAGACTCCCCCAACAAAGAGTTAAGTATTCCCCATATTTTTTTCTAGTATGTACGGTTTTATCTTTTACATTTAACTCTTTGTCCAGGCAACAACACAGATAAAGTAGAAAATTTAAGAGAGATAAACTGACCATTACAAAACAAAACAAAATATATTTCTCACTTTCCAAAATCTAATTTGTCGTACAGGAATATTTATTACAGCCTTTCATATGGAAGCACTTTGATCAGCTTCTTTCTTCCTCAAACCCGATCACCTCCGTCCCTGCTGTATTTGGTACAGCTGAAACCTGCAGAGTTCCTTTGCTAACCTGTCCTGGGCAGAAAATATTTTAGGAGCCTCAGTCCTGCTATGGAGGGAATGTGACTTTACTCATGTCACCATTCTCCTAATGGCTGATATCTCTGCAGTAATTCTGGACACCACAAACCCATCCCATTCCAGGTTTCTCCTAACCTCTGTCATGTCAATTTAGTCCATAGGATCAGGTGTTTGCCTCAGTGTCCTCCTTAGTTCTGCATTTTCCTGATGTGACTGAATTAATGCCCCGAGGCTTCCCAGACCTTGCCTATCTTTTTCTCTGGGTCCTGCACTTTCCTGCTTCACCTTTGGCAATGAATCCATTACTTGGAGCCTCACACCATCTCAGGCTTGATCCCAGGCATTGTTTTCTCCCTGGATTTCCTACTCTTTCAGCCCTACTCATCAGACTAGATGGATCTCTCGGAATAGCAAAACTTGCTGAAACCAAACCCAGAGTCTCACTTGCCTTTCAATCTTGAGTCCTGGATGTGGTCGGCTGTTGGGTGGCACACCTGATATCCAAGTGACTACTCAAGTTGCAATTTCGAGTCCCCCATGATTTGACTGAAATGTTACGGAAGCCGTACCACGAGGCCTTTGTCTGCCTTTCTGTTTTTGAGGGGGAGGTGGATGGATGGAGTTAACTATATTAATGGTCCCCCCATTACCCTATGGGAAGCAGAAGTCTTTGTATCTTTCAAAATAAAGGCAGTATGGAAAGTCCTGACTGTTTTCCTAAGTACTCCTCTCTTTGCACTCCGTCTCCTATTTTAGCTGGGAAGGATGCATCCTTACTGTCTCTAAGGAGATCTTGAGGACTAGTGGCCTCCATAGGTCATGGAGGGAGCTCTGGAGGTTCATTCTTGTTTATGGCTTTTCACTGTCAGTCGGCTGTGGTCCCTCATTGGTGAAGCTTCCACTTTTTCAGAGGGCCTTTCAGAGACTATGCTTTGATCACCTTCATCTGAAGGGGAAGCAGGAAAGACCTCCCGCCCGCTTTGAACTCTTAGAGAATATGTGGTTTATATCATCAGTTTGCCATTGATCACAGACTCTCTTGTATCATTCACTTTTGCTTATCTGCCCTTTCATTCTGCCCCTACCCAGGCAAGTGGCATGCCCTGTTCAGCCCAGGGCCTACCTTGGGGAATCTTAGTTGGTTCACAGGCCAGGTTGGCTGAGACTTGTCTCCCCAGCATCCTGTGTGCCTACAAACTTGTCCTTTCCCCTGTGCTTTGGCTGTGCTTGGGGAAAGGTGTGCTGCCCTCAGTAGAGCAGATCTACTAGCAGTAAGAAGCAGAGATCTACAGAACCCGGCTCCTTGCTTCCGGTTGTGAGTAGCCCCTGGCCTGCAGCCCTGGGATGACAGCCTTTCTTCCTTTAACATAAATGAGGCATACATGAGGACAATCTGCTCTCTTTTCACCCCCAGCTAGGACTTAGTGAGTACTGGTAAAGCACAGTTTGCACTGGAGTAGTTGGAAAATGGAGTTTGCCCTTCCCAATCTGTGCACAATCTGTTAGCAGCTAAAAACAAATGTTAGCAGTTATAATTACCATCATTTTGTCTCCAGGCTTGGATCACATTCCAGGTGTTCTACAAGATGGCCCGTTCCCTTTTTTTCCTCCTTTAAGTACCATGCCCTGTTTCAAGGGGCTTCAGAGGCCAGTCGTGCTGAAAGCTTCACCTCCCGAATTGGTTCGGGACTCTTCCGCAGTTTGTGTCCCTTAGTTCCTTTGAACTTTGCTGTCCCAAGTTAGAAAGACCTTGTTGAGGTGTGGCTGCCTCTAAGAACACTGTTGAATTGGTGCCATGGTAACGTTTGCAAAGTAGCTACTGCTAGGATACGGCTGTGACACTTATTACTTTATTTGCATTTCCAACCACCTGTTCCGAAGATGAAAATATACATGAATGCATATTCCAGTCTGGATGAAAGCATACTATCTGACTATTTAAATGGACATGTTGGGGTTTTTCTCCCTCTGGCTGTACGAATTAAGCTCTGAAGTCCTGCTCCTCAGCGTCTTTGTCCTGATTTAGAACAGGTGTCAGGCCTGGTATGTGGACACGATTCATTGGTTCTGTTGCTTGTGGAGGCACCAGGAACCTTTCTTAGGAGGTTTGCCCTTCTGGGAGAGGGAGGCACCTATGAAAGGGAGCAGAGACGTGATCTCCCCCAAGGGAGGCACTTTCTACTGATATTTCCACAGCCCCTGAAGGGAGAGCTCTTCAGTTTGTCCAAAACTGGGTTCCTGGGAGACTCTAGCTATTGGTATGTATCTGTTTCCCTCCAGTTTCAGGCAAACCCTCCCCCTGGATTAGTTGTGGCCCCTTGTCCGTAGCTAACAGAAGAGCCACTCTGCCTTCTCCACTCTGTTCCCTTGCCCTCTTCAACTCCACCTCATCTCCTAGGACATTGGACATGTCTATGGTTGATTCATTGTGCTCACTCCCGATTATTCCCTCTTTCCTCTTCCTCAGGCCACTTGAAGGAGCAAGTGGTGGTCACTACTGTGTATTTCCATTAGTTACCACCCAAAAGTTCTTAAGCACATTTACTATGCTGAAAATAGCACATCAGGGACAGGGGAAGCACCTAGAAGGCTTCCTGCAGCAGCCTTAGTACTCTTAACTAGTTTCTCAGTCAAACTTCCAGTCTCCACAACAGCAAACATCTTTTCTCCTCGAGGGGACTCCTTCTGGATTAGATGTTTCATGTTAATCTTTGCCTTTTAAGGGTCTCAGGTGTATTCACCAACTAGTTACTTTTCGGTTACATTTTCTTTCATGCTTGCTTCCGTGAGTGCTCATGATTGGTCCCTTCCCCACCATTTGCCACTGATCATGCCTTGTCGTCCTCACTTCTTGCCTCCATTTTCCTAGCATCTCCTAACTCAATGAACTTATAAATATAAGACCAAGATTTCATCTTTTATTTAACATTAATAAATGGCATCCCATTTAAAAATGTTCCCTTAAGGGGCGTCCGGTTGGCTCAGTTGGTTAAGCATCTGACTCTGGATTTCTGCTCAGGTCATGATCTCCGGGTCCTGGGATCCAGCTGTGTCAGGCTGTGCACTGAGAGTATGGAGCCTGCTCAAGATTCTCTCTCTCCTTCTCCCTCTGCCCTTTTCCCAGGCTCTCTCTCTCTCAAATAAATAAATAAATATTAAAGAAAACATTCCTTTAAAAATGAGCTTCTATCCACTAGCATATTTACCAATTGCATTTTAGGGTCATTTCAGGGATAGGCAATCCCAGGTAGTCACCAGTTTTAAAAAACAGCTCTACTGAGGTTTAATTGACAAATAAAAATTGTGTATATGTAGGGTGTACAGCTTGATCTTTTGATATATTTATACATTGTGAAATGGTTACAGCAATCAAGGTAATTAACATATCTATAACCACATATAGTTATCTTTTTGGGGGGTTTGTGTGAGAACATTTAAGATCTGCCCTCTTAGCAAATTTCAAGTATACAACATGGTATTGTTCACTGTAGTTGCCGTGCTGTCCAGAATTTAGTCATCTTGCATAACTGAAACTGTGTACCTGTTGACCAACATTACTCCATTTCCCCTTGCCCCAACCCCTGGCAATCAACTATGCTTCCATGAGTGTATTTTAGATTCCACATATAAATAACATTAGGCAATATGTGTCTTTCTGTTTCTGGTTTATTTCATATAATATAATGTCCTTCAGGTTCATCCATGCTGTGGCAAATGCCGGGATTTTTTTTTTTTTAAGGCTGAATAATATATCATTTTATGTATATACCACATCTCCTTTATTCATTCATCTGTCTATGGACATTTAGGTTGTTTCCATATCTTGACTATTGTGAATAATACTGCAATGAAAATGGGAGTGCAAATACCATCTCTTTGAGATAATCATCTCTTTGATTCCAGTTCTTCTGGATAAATACCCAGAAGTGGGATTGCCAGATCACGTGGTAGTTTTATTTTTAATTTCTTGAGGAACGCCATATTGTTTTCCATAATGGCTCTACCAATTTACATTCGGACTAACAGCTCCCTTTGCTGTGCCATCACCAACTCTCATTATCTTTTGTCTTTTTGATAATAGCCATCCAAACAAGTGTAAGGTGATAATCTCATTGTGGTTTGGATTCACATTTCCCTAATGATTAGATATGTTTGAACACCTTTTCATATACCTGTTGGCTGTTTGTATGTCTTTTGAGAAATGTCTGTTCAGGTCCTTTGCCCTTTTTAAAATCAGATTATTTGGTTTCTTTTTGCTATTACACACATGCCTTATATATTTTGGATATTAGCCCCTCATCAGATACGTTGTTTGCAAATGCTTTCCACCATCTGTAGGTTGCCTTTATGCTTTGTTGATTAAGTTTCTTCAGCTGTGCAGAAGCTTTTTAGTATCACATGGTTCCGTTTATCTATTTTTGCTTTTTTTAAAAAAGATTTTATTTATTTATTTGAGAGAGAGAGAAATCAAGCACAAGTGGGGTGGGGGGAGGGGCAGAGGGAGAGGGAGAAGCAGGCTCCAAGGAGCCCTATGTGGGGCTCCATCCCAGGACACTGGGATCATGACCTGAGCTGAAGGCAGCTGACCGAGCCACCCAAGTACCCCTATTTTTGCTTTTTTTTTTTTTAAAGATTTTATTTATTAATTTAGAGGGAGAGAGAGAGAGTGAGAGCAGGGGAGGGGCAGATGGAGAGGGAGAGGCAGAGAGTCTTAAGGAGACTGGCGCTGAGTGCAGAACCCTATGTGGGGCGCAATCCCACAACTCTGAGATCATGACCTGAGCCAAAACCAAGAGTCAGATGCTTAACTGACTGAGCCACCCAGGCACCCTTATTTTTGCTTTCGATGCCTATACTTTTTGTGTCATATTCAAAAATTCGTCACCACAACCAATGTCAAGAACCTTTTCCTCATGTTTTCTTTTAGTAGTTTTACAATTTCAGCTTTTACTTTTGTCTTTAATTTGTATTGGTTTTTGTATATGGTGTGAGATAAAGGTCCAATTTTATTGTTTTGCATGAGCCACCACTTTTTTACATCTCTTAGGTGTAGGAAAATTCCAAAGCAAGATCAACTTTGCAAAGCTTCATTTAGGTTGCACATAATGATTTTTAAAATTTTATTTATTTTATTTCGGAGGGGGTAGTGAGCCCATGAGCAGGGGGAGGGGCAGAGGGAGAGGGAGAAACAGACTCCCCGCTGAGCATGGAGCAGGGCTTGATCCAGGACCCTGAGATCATGACCTGAGCCAAAGGCAGATGCTCAACTGACTGAGCCACCCAGGCACCCACACAAAATGATTTTTTTATTTTTATTTTTTTAAAGATTTTATTTATTTATTTGAGAGAGAGAGAATGAGAGACAGAGAGCACGAGAGGGAAGAGGGTCAGAGGGAGAAGCAGACTCCCCGCTGAGCGGGGAGCCCGATGCGGGACTCGATCCAGGGACTCCAGGATCATGACCTGAGCCGAAGGCAGTCGCCCAACCAACTGAGCCCCCCAGGCGCCCCACAAAATGATTTTTAAAACAGAATTTAGCCACAAGGAAATGAAGAACCTTGATCATGTGGTTCCTGCTCACAATTCTTATTGCTAAATTGACATGTACAGGAAGGGAGGAATTTGAAGAAACATCTATTTCCCCAAACAGACTCCTTTCTTCTGTCTTTCTTTGTTACCTTGCCCTGCTTCATCTTCACCCGGATGAGTTACAATGAATATTATCTCTATCAAAGTAATATGACATTATAATGAAAAAGCTTTACAAAGGCAAAACTCTCTTATACTGATATATATATATATATATATATTTTTTTTTTTTTAAAGACCTTTACTCAGTTTAACACTCCAAAATATTTTTTCTAATCTGTGTTCTGGAATCCCAAATTGGGATATATCTAAGATGGCTTGTGTGTTGCTAGTTGCTGCCTGTAAGGTAACTTTAATAACATATTTTATTGCTATTTTTGTTTACTTTTATTTGAAGGTACATGCCCAATTAATTATATAATTCACTGCTTTCATAGCAGTTTGGTTGACACTGAATAATAATGCCCACATTCATGTAGCAGTAAGAAACTACCTAAACTGAAGAAAAAAAGCAAGCATGAAATAAAGGAGAGCAGAAAATTCAGTAGATTTCATGGGGCTCATTAAGGAATTAGGTAGGAAATATGGGACAAGGGAAGTGTTAGGGTTGAGAGGAAAAGAAGACAAGCAAAGGATGGATGTCCTAGCTTGGGATCATTAACGGAAAGGCCACAGGGTGGCAGCATAGTCTTACCAGCAGGAAACTTTCTGTTGGACCACAATTCATTTGCTAAATCCACACATTTGCAGAATTCCTCCATGTTGGTTTCTCCCATTGTCCCAGGTAAATACCAACAAATGTTTAGAATCAGAGGTAACTCCTACAACTTAAGCTGAGGCAAAGTGCAGGGTGAAGGCACCATCTTTACTCCCAGAATCTGTGCAGGTGCTCTAAAAAAGGTTTCCAACCGTCTGTGGGGAAGGACCAATTTAAGTTTACGAACCATCATACACTGATCATTTTGTATTCAGTGAAAGTGATTTTATAGAAACATGAACAAAAAAATACATAGACATCATAAGCTCATTTTACAAATAACTAAAAGATATAAACAGATCAAAAGATATAGAAGTTTTAAATCACATTTCAATAAATGTAAATGGAACACTCGTCTATTTTTGCTTTTGTTGCTTGTGATTTTGATGTCATATTCAAAAAATCATTGCTCAGACCAGTGTTACAAAGCTTTCCTGT